AGCCCGGCCCGGCCCGGCGCGGCCCCTTCCGGCACGGCCCTCACGCCATGGCCCCGGAGGCGGGCTGGGACTGCTCTGGGCGGCTCCTTCTGCTGTGACATCGCCGGAGCGGCGGCAGCAGCTCCGTGCAGGGTAGGGATCATCATTTCCCATGCTCAGGGTGGTGCCTGGGCCCCTGTCAAAAGTGCGTCCCCTCACACCAAGTATGGCTCCTCACACCGAAAGGGGTTCCTTCGCACCGAGGACATGCCCTCCAAAGAGTATCGCCTCACCCAAAAAAGTGGCCTCTCACACCAAAGTAGTATTTACTCCCTCACATCAAGAGTTTCTCCTCTTTGCCCTCACATCAAGAGTATTTTTTTCCGTCACACCAAAACTGGTTCCTTTGCATCAAGTACATCCCCTCACACCAAATGAGCATCACCTCATCCCAAAGAGTGTCTCCTCACATCAAAAGTGCATCCTCTTGCACAAAAATAATATTTATTCCCTCACACCAAGGAGTTTCTCCTCATATCAAGAGTATTTATTCCCTCACACTAAAAGGGATTCTGTCACATCAAGTACACCCCTCCACAACAAATGAGCATCACCTCACCCTGAAAAGTGTCTCACTCACATCAAAAGTGCATCCCCTCACACCAAAAGATGTGGGTGGCCACAGAGCTCCAGACACAGAGCTCCACAGAGGTGGGTGGCCCTGGCGCAGCAGGGTCCCCTTTCCAAGCCACATCTAGCAAAGTTATAAAAAGTTAATACTATGTTTACTTTTCTTGGCTGCCACAAAGGCAGGAGGCCAAGATAGTCCCACCTGGGATGGTGAAAGGGTGAACTCAACTGAACTCAATATTCACCTGACACTGCCTGAGGAAGAAAAATCTCAATGAAACTGGTTAAAACCTTCATCATGCCTTCTGTTCCAGCTGTCAGTAAGGAAAAAAAAATGCTTAAAAAAAGGAAAAGCCTGCAGAAAGCTGAAAGTGTCAGTGAAAGCACAGAGATAAAGCAAGAGCTCTAATTTTTGCCAGTTCTCTTGGACAGCCAGGAGCAGAACACCACCCTCAGCTCCTGACCTTCATCTTGCTGTATTATCATATTTCTTAGTTAATCTCTTAAGATAATTTTGAAAATCTGCATTTAGCTTTTGGGATTTTTAAATCTTGTTAGTATGAGTACTTTTGAATTTTCACAAGGAACCTTTCTTAACATTGAGAATGTGTTACTGGAATGGAGACAGGACCAGATTGTCAACCAAAATCAACAAAAGTGTTTTCCCTGGTTTTCCAACACAGTGTAAGAAGTTTCCATTGCATTTACAGTATAACATGTTTAAAGTACTCCTGAGCTGAGTAAGAGCAGGTTGAAATCTGGCAGACGATTTGCTTTGAGTGGCTGCACTATCACAAACAGATCATCAGGAGATGTACAAACAGCTTGTGATGTCATGATGTTAAACTGAGTTTAAATTTCATTTCACTTCCTCCCTGCAGAGTCTTTTTTGTGCATCAGGATTCAATTATAAGCAAAATGAATTTTTGGTTTGACTCCCAACATTTTTTAGGATGGCTAATTTACTAGTCTCAACAGAATGCTTCCTGTAACTTGGAAAGATAGATAATCAATGAAATTGAAAAGACCTGCTGCCCATAAACATCATGATTCAGTCAGGCTTAGTCACAGTTTAACTGTCTATTGATCATGGTTAGGCAACTCTTTAGCACAGACCTGTCTTGCTGAAGCTACTGATGGACCATAGGCAGGTCCTGGTTTACTCTCTCTTGCTCCTGAACCCAGAATGGTTTCCACAACCAGAAAGGGAAAAGCCTGAGGGATGAGCACAAGCATGCAGAGTGTGTGTGGGAAGAGAAATAGAAACCTCACCTTCAAGCTTTTAAATGACCAAGGTTAATTTATAAAAGGTGAGAATTAGAACTAAGCATGCAGTTTGCACCCTTTGCTCACTGAGGAAGGGCCTGGGTTGGTGCTTGCCTTTGTCACACACCCATCTCTGCCAGAGCAGTTAAACCGAATTTTGACATACAAAAAGCATAACCAAGATGTGAACCACCTGCAAAAAGGGATCTGCCACAAATAGACCTAATCTATGCCTGATTTGATTTTTTAAAAAATCCCCATCAGACACAGTGATGCTCCATTTAATTTTATAATGTTTGGGGGCTTCTTACATTTGCCTTGTGTTTTTTTTCCCACATATATAAAGCCACCCAAATAGTCCCAATCTCTGGGATAATTTTCTATAATTAATTGCAGCTTTTGAAGTAGTTCTTAAAAAGTCCATTTAGGATTGATGCAAGCATCAAAAGCTTCAGGGTGGGAACCAAGATCCAGATGAAAACAAAGGTTTTAATCTTGGAAAAGAAAAATACCTGTTGGATCAAGTGCTTTGATTTCTTTACAAATAAGATAAGCCGGGGCAGACAGTGTGGTGGGGAGAGCTGAGAAACCCCACCCAGAGGAAGGAAATGAGGCTCTGTTTGCCATAGCAACACATTCTGAACGAGAAAATAAAATATACATGTTGCTGAAACTGAGTAAAGAGCCATTTCAAACTTTAAAGGACCACAGCTCTGCTTCAGCCACTGGGACTGAGTACTGCAGAGGAAATCCAAGATAGGTTGATTTCCTTGAAGCTTTTTTTTTTGTCTGAATCAAGATTTTGGAGGATAACAGCGCTGGTTGGCTCAGGCCCATCGTGACAAGGTGCTGAAAATTCTGCTGAATTGATGTCAGATGGGGGCTGTGATTTAGGCCAGTTTATTGATAAACAGCCCAGAGCTTTTTATCAAACAGATGTAGCTGACAGGCTGCTCCCAGCTCGACAGCAGATTGGGAAATGCTGAGCTCTCCTCTGCCTCCACAGTGTTTGGCTGAGATAGGAGCCTGGCTGAGGAGGCAGTGGCTGAGCCCAGATAAGGGGGAGGTAATTCCAGCTGGCGAGGTAAAGCAAACAGAGGCTTTATCTTCTCTGGTATAAAAAACATTTGCTGAAATTATGCATGCAGGCTTAGGAACTTAGCGTGGAAAGGGCTTGGAAGAGAACTCCTGGACAATTTGGGGAAGCACTGCAGTTGTATGTGCAGGCCTGGAGATGGCACACCTGGATTGTGTGGCTCTGCAGGACTTGTACAGTTCTTTGGGAAAAAAACCCCAAAACTTGAAGGATTCTGCTTTTCTTGTAAGCACTTCTAAAAGGGCAAGAAAGGAAAAAGCCATTCAGGCCTGCTCTGGTAATAATTATTAAATTAGGCTTAAAAACCCCCATGGAGAGCATTTCCAGCAATAAGTCTACAGAATGAGTATCTGAAATCTCCATGTGTCATTACAAGATACCTCAGAGCTTGGCACAGATACTCCCTGGTCCTCCACACCACTGGGATTTTTGATATCCATGCCACAATTCTCCCCAATGTTTCTACAGTGAAGTGCAGGAAAAGCCCTTTGTCCTTGCAGGGTCACAAGGGGAATCAAAAAGCTCCAGAAATTGTCAGCCTTTGAGTTGTTTAAGCCTGGTGTGAGTAACTGTGGAGTAACCCCCAGGCTGCCTCACTCAGAGCTCCTGTCCACTCCCTGCCAGCCAAAAACAGCCATTCCAAAGACAGGGTTTTCCCAAATCAGTTTGTTTTGGCATTTCCTGCACGAATGGTGCAGAGAAGAAAAAGACTGAAGGAATCAATTACTTAAGAATCTGTCTTAAATTGAAAAGAAGAATGTGAGTGAAAATAGATACCAGTTGTGGCTCATTCAATCAGCAGTGGTCCTTGGATGGAACAAAGTGGTCTGATACCTTCTTGGAACAGAACTCTTACCCTGGGTAACCATGAAATGTTCCTGGAGGAACCTGGCTCTGTTCTTTGGGAGAAGTTATTATGCTGAATAAATTTACAGAGGAAAAAAATAAGAAACAAAAGGTTTTTCTAGCTATAAAGAATTACTTTCTATTATTCTCCAGCTGACATTATCTGCACAGCAGTGAGTAGACACAATCTCTGGCTGGCCCCATCTTATCTGAAAGTAAGTTAATCAGTATTTTAAATAACTAAATCTTTAACATCCTCCAGGAGTATCTTGCACCTCGAAGTGATTTATTGGAGGTCTGTACAGCATATTTGAAAGGGTTTATGGCTTGTTCTAGGCCTCATTTTCCAAATCAAACATTGCAGTGGCTATGAAATTCCTAGTCAGAATCAATTTGTGCTAAATGTGTTTTGAATTATGCTCATGAACACAGTTTTCACTGAAGGCAGCCAAGCCTCCCAAGTAATTACTGCTTTTTGTCACAGGTTGGAGTCACACAAAATCTGGTGCCACTGACAGCAGAAATAAAGAACAAGGTGGAGCCCTGAAATTCCACACAGTATTTTCATTTCTTTCATTCTATCCACTCTTTTTTCTTCAGTCTTTCAGCCACATCCCCAAATCCCCTTTATAATTCCCTAATAAATAAGAACAACACCCAACCACAGCAGCTCTTTTCCCAACCCCAGCATCTCCCATTTTCCACCCATGGGGATGAGATGAAGTGACTTACAGGAGGCATTCCTGGTGTTTTTCCGGGAGCAGGCAGCCAGGCTGCAGGGCCGTGCTGGCACAGCCCGGAGGTTTTTCAGCTGCTTGGAGAGACTCCCCAGGGCTGTCACCTTCAGCCCATTCATCGCTGCCACCGGCCACTCCAAACCTTCCCTGCTCCCTCGGCAGAGCCTCCCACAGCCTAACAACCCAACATCACAGAGAATAAAAAATCATATGGCTACACAGCTCCACCGAGGGGTCACCAGGCTTCTTTTTAAATAATTCTGAGAGCACCCTTTGCTGGTTAAGAGATGGAGCCAACCCAGGAGTTAATTTTCAACCTGTCCCTGCACTGTCTTCTCCATTGGCTCTCCAGTCTCTCCAGAGGCTGGCTAGTTGATGATTATTCTGCATGTGCTTCCCAGAGGTTCTTTTCCCCCCTCATCTGGTTCCAGGAATGGGAAGGATTGCAGAAAACTCCTCTTTGGTATGCAAAGAAAGGGTTCTTATCACTCCTCGGTGCTGTGAATTTGAATAGTTGTGTATTTGAATACTGATAGCCAAGAGGTGCTGTCAGGAACAGCTGAAATGCCCCGAGCTGGTGCTCAAACTGAGGAATTCCCAAAATCCAGCAGCTACGCAAGGCTGGGCCCAGAAAAGGAAACATTTTAGCTACTTTAGCTATTTAACTGCAACAGCATTACAGCCTCCAGCTGAGGAGCTGCAGAACAAGGGATGCAAACAACAAATTTTGTTACAAAACCAAAATTTTATACAGACTAAAAAGAGTAACATAGTGACCCATAATTATTCCTCTGGTCATACTTGAACTCAACTGAAATTTTTTTTTGGGACAGCACAGAGGGAGATGTTTTCCTGACCCATATTTCTCAGAGATAAAAGCAAGAATGTTACTCTCTTGCTGTTTCCAGGGGCACTTCCAGTAACTTTGTTGCTTTATGTGAAAATCCTGTCTGGAAATCCCACACTTCCATTTTCTTTGGGAATGTTTGCTCTTCCTCTGAAACAATCCACACCAATAGCACAAATGCATCCAAGTCAGAGCTGCAGTTTTTCAGGCCAAGTGCAGAAACAGATGAAAGGAATTATTCCTGTAAAATTTCCCCAATATTTCAGACAACTGCCAGCTAAACGGGAATAAAGATGGGGAGCCATTGAAGATGGAATTATTCTTTCCAAGGACAGCGAGTCAAGGATAACCCAGCATAGCAGTGCCTGAGCCAAAGAGTCCCCTAGCATTCCCAGCCCCTGTGAGTGACAAAGTGACAAACCAAAGCCAAGGTCCAACCCAGGAGCACAGGAAAGAATAAAAGGAGACATCCCAAGTCCTTCCTGGGGACAGAAATAGAGACAAACCTGAAGCTAAGAGTCCCAGCACCAGAGCTGAGGCTTAAATGGGCTCCTGGCCCATTGTGGTGGTGGAGGCTGCAGGTGAGGATTATAGGGGTCATTAAACTTAATTTAAAAAATCCCTCAGGCTCACAAAAAAATGGAAGTATTTGCAAAACACATGTGATTCCTTTTCTCCATTAAATACATAAGCGGGTATACTTAGAAAGCTCCAGAATCCATCAATGACAGAGCAAGAAGTGATAATGAGAAGAGTATTAGCATTCTGCCATTAAACCCTACTCTCTTCTTAATTCATAAATTACCTGTGAAATATTTTTCAATGGTTTTGATTTGTGTTCTCTTGGGATTTCTTTATTTATTTATTTTAAACAAACTGGTGTTTTGGGTTAGAAACTTCCTGGTGATGTTTCCATGAAACATTTGCCTGTCATCTCTCATCACACAGGGTGGCAGGGCAGGGCTCAGGCTCAGGCAATCCTCTTTGGCAACCTGAAGTGGCCAGCTGAGCTGTGCTATTTATTATTCCAACCCCTCCTGTTTAGCGAGTTTTCCTTACTGCTTGTCATTTATTCCCTGAGATGCCAGCACTGCCTGAATTTTCAGCTCTGAGTTCTGCCCAAGGAACTGAAACATCAACTGTTCTTCATAACTGGGTAATGTGGGTGAGAAGTGTGACTGTACACAATGAAAGTGGGCTTATTTTTCTTCACAGAAGTTAAACAAGAGAAAATTTAGAATTTTCTTGCTGTCACCCATCCGACTTTTGCTGTCGGTGCCTCCAGACTGAGCAGAGAGGAGCAATAATTGTTGTGTTTTTTTGCCTACAGGAGCATTGCTTATTTTTGTATTACTGTTGTTGATATTAATTGTGTTACTTGCAGAGGGAAAATCACCTCCTCACTGTGTTGTGTCCAAGGAACCTGATCCCCAGGCATCCTGCTTGGAAGGCTGTTCTGCCCTAGTGTTGCCTTGGTTTTAAGTCAAACCCAGTAATTCAACAAAAAATACAATGTTACAGCTTTACTGTAATTAGATATCATAGAAGCATTGAATAATGAACATTTTCCTCACCTAATTATTGTCTAATTGGCAGGACAATCAGTCAAGTTGTGGGAAGCTGCCTGGGAATTTTGCTGCTGAGGAGTGGAAATGTCTCTGGAGTGACTAAAAATGTCACTTAGTGCAGGTTACCCCCAGGAGCCAGGTCACCCCTGGGTGGCTTTGCCCCTCATTTCCCTGAGGATTGGCTCACACTTCCCATGGCAGATTTTACTTGATAGAAGCTTTTTTTTTTTTTTTGTGTCCATATTTTGCTGGGATACTTCATTCACCTCTGCTTTTTCATTCTCTCTCTTACATCACGGTCCCCAAACAGGACAGAACATTCCAGATTTGTCCCCACAAGCACCAAGCAGGGGGAATTCCTGAAATGTGCTGGAAAGCTCTGTCTGATACAGCCCATGGACCTTCATCCCTGTCAGGTGCACTCCAGGATCTACTTGGGAACACCTGGAACAGGAGAAAAGCTGTCTCCAGGGCTTTGCAGTGCCCAGGTTGTAGGGAAATGAAGGATTTCACCATCCCAAGGGGTTGGAATTTGCCTCTGTTGCCCTGGATGAGGTTCCAGTTGACCTGGATTGCCCGGAGTGCCACAAAGGGCAGCCCTGCCCTCCTGCCTCTGCCACGTGGAGCTGTGTGGAAACCTGCTCAGGGCATTCTGTCACCCTGGCCACAGCTGGACATCTCACTTTGCTTCACCTCTCACACCCGAAACCTTTGAGTTACAAATAATTTTAGATGTGTCAAAATGGATGCATGTCCAGAATGAGGAGATGGTCAAATTCTGCTTAGAATCATAGCAGAATAAAATCCTCTAAAATCTGTAGGTGGGCTGAATCTCCTTCAGGTTTTGATAATCCCCCAAAATTATTCAGATGATAATGGTAACTCTCCAAATAAACACAGTCTTGGGCAAAGATGACCAGAGCTGGGCAAATCTCAGCTGTGTAGGGGAAGCAAAAGGGGCAGAGAAGAAGCTGTGAGTGACCCTGGAAGATCCCAGCCAGGCAAAGTATAAACACAGGGCTCGTGGTAAATAAATCAGGGGCACATTTCTCAGAAGGGAAGGAGCCTCCCATCATTTTATTTTTTTTTTTCCATGATGTGTCCAGGGAGATGGAAGAGTCTGTAAATAAGTAAGAGAACACTGAGATCCCACCTGACCCTTCTCACATTGTTCCTCAGACTGGCAGAAGTGACCCTGCGTGACCATGGACTTGGACCAGACAGATGGCAAAACGTGTCACAATGTTTTTCTCTCTGCTGAGGGGATTCAGGGCCTTCCCTGTTCGTGAAAATTAGAAGTATTTTCATTGAATAAAATGGAATTTACTCAGCAGAAACCAGAATGAGATCAGAGCATTGATAGAGGTAGCTGAAATACATCCAGGAGCAAAACCCACTTGATGCTACCCTGTTTTCTGTTAGGATCACAGAACAATTCTGAGGGGATTGCCTCCAAAAATTAAAATGATGAGCTTCTCCTTATATGCTGCTACAGCATATTTAGAATTAATATCAATATTCTCTTGGTTAAAGAAGTGTTTTATGTAACTTTTCCTTAAGCATCGCTGCTATAATATAGGACAGGCTGTGCTCTTAAGGCTGGGTTTGTTTCTCTCTCCAGTTACAAGAGATATTCTAGAGAAAATGAATAAACTCAAACAGAAAGAACCTAATAAGCAGGGGAGCTTCAAGTACTCTTTTCACTTGGATGTAACTGAGGATTTTATCCTTAGGAAACAAAATTATTCCTCCAGCAAATACTCTGGAGTGACTTCTATGCCCTGCTCACATCTTCCCCATCCTTTTCCCCTGTGTTCTCATGCTCAGCACTGAGGATAATTATGGATGTCTGTCACATGTTTAAACAAAAGCTTTGTTTAGCAACCTTTCTTTTCCTGCTACAGCTGCAAGATTGTGTGCACACCATGTTAATTTTTTACCTTTGATGCTACAGGAAGTTGGGGTTTTTTTTTCCCTAATGAAAAAATAAAAAAAGGAAACCAATGAATGAGATCCCAATCTCTCCTGATCCACAATACATGTGAAAGCAGCAACTTCCTTAGAAAACAATAGTAAATGAATGCTGAGACCAGGGTGAAATAAGCAGGATACTTCCTGGAAGCAAATTATTCCTCATCACAAGGCAAAGCACAGATATAAAATGCAAGAAAATGGGGAAAAAAAAAAGAGCATGAAAATGTGAGGAAATAAAACAACAAAGAAATGCCTTGTTTTATTTGGGATAACAGATTAACAGGGCAATTTTCTCCTGTAAAATTAAAAAAATTAAATTACATATTAGCAGCCTGAAGTTCTCAGTTGCTTTTATATGAGGACAGGAAATTAAGAATGGATTTGATGTAGGCACTTGAGCAAATTATCGTGGTTTAAATCAGAATAAACCTTCCCATATATCAAGTTCTTCTTGGCCTTTGCTCATAGGCAGACTTATCCTAGGGTAAAGCAAAGCCTTCATTCACTAAATGGGGATTACACTGAATTTCATTCAATTATTGCAGAAATAGTCACGGGAGCTCAGTTTTGGCAGCACCTGAAGTGCAGGAATCAATTACCCTTTGGTCAGTCACTCACTGGTACTGGGAATCAAAGACTAAAAGCCAAATCTGGGCCCTCAGATTTAACAATCTTTAAAAAAGGATCTTTAAAAAGATCCTTTTCCTCCTGCTGTTTCCCAGCGTTTTCAGTCAGACTTTGTGCCGCATGAAGTGTTTGTCATTTCTGGCTGTGCAGTCTCGAATAAACATGAGATAAACCATGATAAAGGAGTCTTTCCATGATTTATTGGTGTCATCCATCATTTTAAAAAGAAATGCCTCCCGATTTGGGAAAAAGTCCAAACTTGTTGCTCTGGTAAAGAGGGGAAAACTCTTCCAAGGGGTGAGGTAATTGTGGATTCTCATCTGCTGGATCAGAGGGGACTGGCAGGAGGAGGTGCTGCAGCCTCCCTCGGGGATAAATTGCTTTATTTGTTTATTCTGCTGTTATCTCTGATCAGAGTCACAAACATCAACTGGATCCCGCCAGTATTTCCTGCAGTTAATTTGAGATAAATTAACTTTGGGTAAATACTATAAGTGGTTTATGACAATGAGAGTTTTTGTGTTTGTGTTGGGAAACGATTCATGGCTCTCCAGAGGAGAAACAACTCACACCTCCAGCAAAAAGAGTCCATAATCTTTGGGATGACAATACTATGAAAATATGAGAAAACAGGGCATTACTTTGGGCTGTTTTAGGATGGCAAAAGCTTTTAGCAGATGCTCTGCACATTGGAACACGGATATTTTGTATCTCTGTTTTTCCAGCTGGGACCAGCGATTGCTTGAGTCCTGCAGAAACTGTCTACCAAAACTGTTACAGGGCAAATCCCTGCAGCAAAGCGTGAAATAATCCGGTGTGAAAAGTCAGATTCTAAACAGTTTAACCTTTGAACTGCCAAATCTGCTTGTGACGCGAGAGAACATGGTAAATAAATCAACAGGCTCAACTGAGCACTTCCAAACCTGCATGGGGGAGCAATTTCCTAACACACCAGGCCTGCAGGTGTCTGGAGAAACACTTACAGCTGGATTCAGCTGTGTGACACGGCACTGGAGAACCCTGTTAAGCACCTTATTTAGGAATTTTAATGTTATTTAAGGAATAGTTTAATGCAGAAGCCTGGAAGTCGCTGCTGGCTACGGTGAAGCTGAAAAGTGAAGTGTGGTTGGTCTTTATTGGTCAACACTGTTCTATATAAAGACATAAAATCATCTAATCTTTGTCCTCTTTCAGAGCCGTTTGCATACACTTCCTCCGCGCTTCCTTTCTGGGGGCTTTTTGTATATTTTTAACATCTCCAGAAGGTTCACGGTGCGTTCCCCACCTTTGCCCAGCCCTCCTGTTCTCACAGCACACGCTGGAGCACAAGTGACAGAAGAGCGAGGCTGATGAGCTAATTTAGCAAATTCCCACTTGCTCCCTGTGCTCAGCTATGCTCTGGGCACGGTG